AACATTTCCATTCCTCTAAGAAAATATTACCACTTGTCACCAAGACCATTCTTCAAATGATGTACAAGCTATAAATATAGCACTGTAGATAGATTTATGTTTATAGGAGTCTGTCCTCAAAGTGAAGCCATAAGCAGGATTTTCTTTCCTCTAAGTTCATTTAAATATAAAACTTAATGACTACTACATTCTTTGTTGATAATGCTAAAATTTAATATGAAAAGTACTAACTTTAACTATTTAAAGATAGTAATTTATAATTTAATTTTTTTTCTAAAAAAAAAAGTGCTAACTTTAGCATGCAGGGCCTAAAGCAGTTTGCATCATGACAAGATTCAAAAGTGCATGCATGAAGCAATAGCATAGTTATTATGAGGATTCTTAGCAGCTGAATTGAATATTGTAAAACTAATAATATGCTTTAAATAAAATGTACATTAACTTGCCTTGCTTAAAAGCTGGCATGAATGACAATTACTCCCTAGATCACAAGTACTGAAATTACACAGCAATCAAATCTCCTAGGAAAAGATATGGAGATCCTTAAATGACTAAGTTCTTATTATTAGTAAGAATTTGGCTTCATGCTACAAATTGCCTCTATGCTTGGCAAATGTGGCAGATTTTGAAAGCACAAGATATTAGAACAACTTAGCTCTCACTGAACACCTCAAAATATGGAATCCATTATCCCCTTTTGTTCCCCAGAAATTCACCGGGTAAATTTGAAAATCATTCAGAGATTTTCTGCAGCCATTAATAAAAATGATCCTAATGAAAATATTTCTCAATAAAATCAACAAAAATCTTCAAAAATCTCCCCATGACTTCCACAGTACATCTTGAGATGTTTTGTTTACTTTGGGGTGAGCTCTGGAGCACTGGGATAGCCCAAAGAACCCTTTGTGGTCACTCTCACCAGTGTGTGCTTGGGGGAGAGGACAGAGCAAGTTTTCTACCTGAAGATGCCCTAGAGGGTCTATAAAGCACTAGGGAAGCCCAGTAAGAAAAACCCATTTGCATCTAGGACTTGAACTTGCATCTTGAACTCTGGACACTGGAGTTCAAGAACTTGAATATATTAGGCTCATCCTAGGCTATCAATGAGAAGAGCATCTTTCTCACCCCTTTTCCCAATGCTTCTAGACCATATTTTAATTAGAATGGCACCACCTCAGGCCTAGCAGAGAACTTGCTTATATTAAATGCACAACCAAGGAAGAAAGGGGAGAAAAGAAAGGAAATGGTAAGTTCCAGGATTTCATAGAGTACTAAATGAATGATTTCCTTTTGTCTTGATGTAAAAGTCTCCTCCCCCCACATATCCCACTTTTACTTTGTTTTTTTCTCATGCCCAAATTAGAAGTGTTTTTCTTATGCATGGTCATAGGACTGCTCAGAGGGATAGAGGGAAGATGAGATGTCATTCAAATATAGAGGCTAAATAAGAGAACAACTGTTTTGGTCTTATCCATCCTCTGTTGGAAGGCTATCCTAAATAGGAGTATCACACAAAAGGCAAAGATTATGTTTTCTCCCTAAAAGAAATGAGACACACCCAATTTTTCCAATATGAATCTCTTTGTAGAAAGGGAGAAAAAGGATATTTAAAACTTGACAGATTTAGCCTTCATTTTCTCTCCAGAGATAAATGATAGCAGCTAGGAAAGAAAACGTGCATCTAGAGGCATAAGTATATGCAATTGCTTTCACAACTTAAACAAGTATCTGTGGGCAAAAAAAAAAAAATTGTCAAGACATTGTCAAAAACAATTAACCTTCAGAAATTTGCCATGAAAATCTTGAGATGAAATGAGGCAACAATTAAAGATACTTGAAATGACAACTTGCTGATATAAGGGTTCCATGGTAAAAGTGGGCTATTCTTAGAATTTAAGTGGTGCTTGGTGACTATGTTAAATTAACTAACATCTCACCTTTCCAGCAACATAATGGAGTTCTAAATAATATCCTGGTATCTCTTTTCTCTTTTGAATAAGTCTAAATCCCAATCTTTCAATATTGAATAATACTGCAATATAATATTTTATTACCACAGTTTTATTGTTTAGTGAAACATACATATGTTTTTGGTTCATTAAATAAAAACTACAGGGCTGGGAATGTGGCTTAGTGGTAGAGTGCTTGCCTGGCATGCATGAAGTCCTGAGTTCAATTCCTCAGTACCATATAAACAGAAAAGGTTAGAACAGGCACGGTGACTCAAGTGGTAGAATGTTAGCCCTGAGCAAAAGAAACTCAGGGACAGCGCCCAGGCCCTGAGTTCAAGCCCCAGAACCAAAAAACAAAAACAAAACAAAACAAAAACCTACAAGTGATTCTTTCACTACTGACTTTCTTTCAGGTGATTGCTCATAATTTGATGAAGCTGCCATTCTTAGAGCTCAGGTAATTCAGTGGGAATGTCAGGAAACCTCATCTCCTTGGAAACAACACATATTATTCATGCATCAGGTTTTCTTGCATGACTACTGTGTACAAGGCATTCTGCTATGTGTGCAAAGACTATGAACTGCAGGGTTTTGATTAAGTGCTTGCAAATATTCAAAGTGATATTTATCTGCATGATGGAAGGACAGTTTCCAACTATAAACTACCCATATTGTGTTTTACTTGCCAGCCTTTGAAAAATTAAGTGTCTTTTCTTTAAAGAAAAAGAAGGAGGCAATTTTGACCTTTAGCCACCTCATCTAAAATCTCTGCTGGTGGTCCTGTGACTCTTGGAGCTGTAGTCAGGAAGGTACAGCCCAGCATTCCTAAAGGCCACCCATTCCCTCTCCCTATCCAAATAAGTCTCATTCCTAAATCCACCAGATAGCAGCCTGGCTCTGCCCAGAATGCTGCTTGCTGTGGTAAACTGTGAAAACCCCAGGAAAGGAATGCCAGATCCACTGAGACTGGAGCTGAAGCCAACCTGGGAACTCATCCTGGGAAACAAAAAGACATGCTTGTTCAGGGCGCTGAAGCCAATTAGCGCAAAACTAGGAGAGATTCTGCACATTATCTAGCTCAGTGTCCTTCTCCAAATGATAAAAAAAAAAAAAAGAGAGAGAGATTCAGGGAGCTAGATTTGCGCGCAGAGATCTCTGGTAACCAGGAGCTAAGTCAAAACATAGCTTTGTATCAGTCACTGGATCAGACCCACTGCTCCACCCAACACCTAGCATTAGGTCCAAACAGGGTTGGGCGAGAGAAGTACCGGTACTAATTACTGGCACAACTCTAGCAGTCCTACTCACTAGGAATAACAATTGCCATGATATGTCTGAGAACTGGAGCTGGGTACTGGATCCTGGGCTGCATAATTCTGATGATAGGAACGACCGAAATAAGAAATCACTAAGATTCCATCCATCAACACAGTCTCGATAGCATTTGTTCTGTGCACTCCCAATACAAAACAATGGCGAGATCATGGTTTGACTGTCCAAGGAAGGACCTCTTTCTCCTGGGAAAGGAATTTACCCTTCTCACTGCCGCAGTCGGAGCATCTGGCACCGACCGTGAGAGGCGCTCGTGCGAGACTTCTGGGCTTGCCTTTGTGCGGAGACTGCCTGTGGCGACCTTGTTAAGTCTGGCCCCTGCTTCCTGCTCTTTAATCCCCCACGTCCCTCGTGGGGGGGGGGGGGGGAGGAAGGAGGGGAGGGCTCCAGAGGTTCAAGCCCAGGGTTGTGGGAAGCTCTTAGAGGCACCTCCACGAGGCCACTCCCAGCGCTCCACCTCGGGCCACCCCCCCCCCCCCCCCCCGCCCCGCCTGACAACAAAACCTACTTGTCCGCACTTGTGCGCTCGCTCCTCGCTAGTTTCGCCGGGATTTGGCTGGATGGGGCTGGGTCCAACACCAGCCCAGCTCCCTGCGTGGAGGGGCCTTGGCCCTTCCTGCCTGATGGCTTCTGATCCTCCAGAGAAGTCATCCTTTAACACACAGAACTCCCTGGCCATCAGGCCCCGCGGGATGCTGGGGTCCCAGAGCCTGATTCCAGATGGTGCCCCGCCCCCACTGCCCCGACCACTCATTCAGCCTTTCCACCCGCCAGTATTTCACCCTTTCCACTGCCGTGCGCCAGGTGGGTGGGCGTATGGGAAGGCAATAACCTGGCCTTGAACCGCAGAACTTTGAAATTTACCCACCACGGAGCCAATAATTCAAGTAGACGGGAAGGTCAAAGGCGACTCGTGAGTGCTGCCCGCAGCCCTGCAGGCAGGCAGGAGGAGGGTGAGGCAATAGATTGGCGTGGTCGGGGGAGCAGCGGGATCACCCGAGGGAAACGGCTTGATCACAGGGAGGGCAAAGTGGAGGGCTCGGCCGCAGGTGGGCACCGCAGGCGCGAGGGCGGCGCGAGGACGAGGAGGAGGACGAGGAGGAGGAGGAGGAGAGGAGGCGGCGGCGGCGGCGGCCCAGGCTGCCCCGCCTCTGCGCCGCCCGCGCCTCCAGCGCATTCCTGGCGGTAGGCGTCACGGACGCCGCCGGCCGCCGTGCACTCCGGGCTCCCCAGGCGCGCACTCCGCACGCAACCTTGTGGCTGCGAGAATCTTCTCCCACCATCGCTACCCGTGCTCCCCCGCCCCCCTGCCCAATCGCGGGTCGAACCACGAGATCCGATCGCCACGACTAGGGGGATCCCGCGGGGGCGCAGGCGCTGCCCCAAGCATCCTTGCTACTACCCAGGCCGCTAGGACACGGCCCCAAGGGCGGACTTACACCAGGCCACTCGGCCGTGCGCAGCTCCAGGCGGCGCCCGGTCACCCTCTTGGCACACAGTGCCTTTCTGGTCCCACTGCCAACTCCCTAAATCCTCACTGTCGTTCCAGTCCGCGCTCAGAAAGGGTAACATGTTCACCGAGCGTGGACCGTGGGAACCCTTCGGAGGGGCAAAGTTAACGGGGCGCGCAGAGCTGTGGAGCTCTGGGTCCTGCGCGCCCCGCAGAGGCTGGGCGCCCCCCCTCCCCCCAGCACCACGCGGTCCCAAGACTCTTACCCGAAGTGTCCCATAGGCTCAACTCTATTCTTTGTGTGTCGATTTCAAAACTGGCCGTGTAATTCTCAAACACTGTAGGGACGTAATTCTGGACAAACAAAACGGACAGGCAAGAAGATTATTTCAAAATACACGAAACCCATCCAACATGCTCGGGGGGAAAAAATCGCCTACCCTGATCTCCAACTAAGAAAAAAAGAAGAAGAAGAAAATCTACATGCTAAACACTCGGAGATCCGGGTCGCCCCACCGGCTTCTCGCAGATATGTTGACCCAAATCTCCCCATCCCACGCTTTGCACCCAGAAATGAACAAGTTTCGGGAGCGAACAACCCTAGGTGCAGCACGGTGCGTCCCGGCCCCTAACCTCTGCCAGCACACTTCCCTTTTTCAGCAGAGGAACCCAAGGGAAGTAGTTGGGGTGAGAATGACCCGTTTTGCAAAGATCTAACTAGTCACCTGGAGATGGGGGATCCGGCGGGCCACCCCCTCTCAAGACGCACTCACCTCGGGGAAGCAATCCTTGGCGAAGACGTGGAGCAGCGCTGTTTTCCCACACTGGCTGTCTCCCACCACGACTATCTTGCATTTCACGTTCTGATTAGGATCCATGATAGATTTACTGGATAGTTTCTGGCTGGCTCTTCTCTCCTTCATTGATGTTGCCTTATTTTCTCTTGGAAAAGGAATTTTCCCGTAAGAAGAAAATATATTTTATACACTTCTCTCTCTATATATATTTTTAAAAACGCAGATATAAAAATAAATCGTAAGGCTGGTGGGAGAGCCCCCTGTAGCACAGCGTGGATGAGGGGGAGAACGAGAGGAGCCGACTCGTTACTCCCCTCCAACAAGTTTTATGCCCGACTCCACGCTGCGCCTTCCAAGTCCAATTCCGATCCGACTGCTTTGTTTCACGCTCTCTGGGAGGCTTTATACGCCCGGCCTTCCAATCCTCTTCTTTCTCAATGAGAGAAGGAAACCGATCCGCCTCCTCCCCTTTTATGGAGCCTGGGAGCCGGCGCGGTCGCCGAGATCGCAGAAAATGTAAGCAGCGCGCCCTCTAGGGTACCATGCGGGAGGGATTTCAGACCAAGGCTCTGGACAACTTGTAGATCCCAAATGCCATTTGCTGAAGGATAGAATTGTACACAACCGGAAGGAGAGGAAACACTGATGTCTGTGCACATTGATTTTTACGGAATTCAGTGAAAAATGGTTTTAGAGAGGCTCACTCTCTCCATTTCAGAAGCTTTGAGGATTTCCTACGCAAGCCAAATGCTAAGGAAGGCCAGTCTTGATGGAAAATGCTAAGCAAGAGATCAAGGTCCTGAGTTCAATCCCTAATATTAGCAATAAATAAACGAATAAACAAACAAATAATAAAGCATACGAAAAAAATATTTGCATCAAAAGGGAAAAATGGGTCATGCAGATGCACAGGTGGTAAAATAATAGCTAATCCAGGTTGTTTCTGGCTGGTTTGTCATTATAGTAAGTACACTGGCTTTAGAAACATGTGAGCTTTCAGTCATTCAAGAGGAGGCAGAAAAGTTTCGAGAGGGGGATAAATGGTGGGAAGGGAGAAAAGTAGCAAGTGGAAGATGCTCATAAGTGAGTAACAAAGGCCACTAGAAACTCAGTCTTCCTACCCTAAGGACCCAAACATAGCTCAGCTAGGGTGCTAGCTGCAACCCTCCCTGTCCCCACCACCCTCTTGCAGTGGAGGCTGGGAGGAAGGAATTGTGACACTGCCCTTTCATTCCTTTATCTATGGCATGTGCCATTCTGTAATCAAAACATTCTCTGCTGGTCTGAGAAGGCACAAACTTCTTCCAGCCCCTCTCTAACCCTTCTTTTGCATCTGAACTTGTAGCTTTCCAACTCTTCCTCACAGCAGGTCTTTAAAAAATGACAACAGCCCACACATTTGTTCTAGGAGAACATTGTCTTCATACCCAAAAGGCTAAAAAGGTTTTAGTTACTTCCTTATAGAATGGACATTGGCCCAAACTAACTTGAATCTACAAGTTTCCCTTTATATGGAAACTTAGAAGCTTGTAAAGAGTAAGATGAGATGCAAAGGAAGTTTCTTACAGGGAGTGAAAAGGGATCTTCTCCAATTCCTTCTAGAGCTAAGAAAACTGGAGCTTTCCCCAAAGAGAGCTCTGACCCAGACCAACGTACAGGTTTATACAGGGAAAGGGCTTACCATGGGGAAGAGCATGGCTAGCTTTGCCGTGGCTCTTACAGAGTATTATTTGTCAAAATTTGCTCCAAAGAGCCTTTTTATATCTAAGCTGTCCTGGCCAGTTAGTGAGGGAGACATGTGCCCTTATCTCCCCTTCAAGACTTACCAATTTGATGATATATTACAGATGTTAAAAAAAATCCCTTTAGAGGGGCTGGGAAGTTGGCTCAGTGGTAGAGCGCTTGCCTGGCATGCATGAGGCCCTGGGTTCAATTCCTCAGCACCACATAAGCAGAAAAAGCTGGAAGTGGTGCTATAGCTCAAGTGGTAGAGCTTTATCCTTGAGTTGAAGAGCTGAGGGACAGTGCCCAGGCCCAGGGAAAAGTAGTATACTTAACATGGTATAGTCTAGCATTTCTAATCCTATTTAAGCATGGAAGATTTTTATCAAATGATTTGCTTGATTGTTTGAAAGGCTACAGGAATGATAATTGGGCCAGGAAATCAAGAAAAAGTATATTTCAGTCCCAAGCTTCACATAGTCTTTTAAATAACATTGGATGGATTATTTAACCTCAGTTTCCTCATATTTAAAATAGGAATCATAATAGTTTTTATCAGGAAATGCAAATTAATTATTTACAGAACAGTTTCTGGCAAAATAAACAGGTGTAACCTATTTTATATTTCACAGTAACTCAGATTTACTCTTCCCAGAACTACTTCCCTAACCCCTATTAGTTAATCTACTAATAGATAGGATTATCCTGGCTTTTCTCATATCCTTAATTTATAAAGTTACTCCCTTCCAGACATATGACTTGAACTTCCATATTCCTCAACTGATTGAGCTTACTTGTTAAATCAGTTTAACTAGCATTATTATTTTGAATTGACTGACCAATGAATATGATTAACATATCAGTTTAGCTGCTATATTTTTGAGTGCAAAATTGGGCATTATCAATGATTATGGTAGAACCACAGGTGTAAAAGGAGTCTGTCCCAGGCAAAACAACTGGTATGATTACGTTACCAGTGAATAATCTGGAATCCTACTGTATGTCTATTTTGGAAATCAGGTCACCTGAATATCCAGGAATCTACCAATTGCTGAATAAAATTGAAGGGATATAAAATACAGTAGGAAATGACCCTAAAGGCACCAGCTTCGAATCTTCCTAACATAGGAACTATTTCTTTTTCATTTCTTTAAATTCTTAGTCCTCAGTGTGTGGTATATTTTTCATATATTTTAACTTGAATATATTATCACCATTGTTTATAAAATACCTGTTATAATGTCAGTCACTGTTCTAGGAACTGCAGATAGAGCAGTAATCAATGTCAGTCTTGTTTTCTGCTCTCACAGGGGAAACATTCCAGACAAAGGAGAGGGAAGCAATACACACAGAAGAAAGTGCATAAATAAGAACAAGTGGGCTAAACCCTGTGAATTAACAGAATGGCAAGCTGGAGCATAATTTATGGGGAAATTGGACCTCAGTCCCTGGCAATGCCTCTATATAGGGAATGAGTCTTTAACAATGAAGACAAACCAGCCAATAGGATGTCCAGGGAATGGAGAACAGAAAGGTGATATGGAAGGAAGAGCTGGTAGGTTTGAGGAACCTAGGGAAGGCCAGAATGACCAAGGTCCACTGAAAGAAGGGAGCAAAAGAATATGAGTTGATTAACTGGTCTTGGAATCTAGATTTTCATGTAAGGACAATGTGAAGTTAATCATAGGAGGGCTAGCAAAAGGCTAGCAGGTATGCTATAGGAATGAATGAAATGGTTGGCTTTAATACCTAGCTGTCACTAGTTGCACAATCTTGTTGAAACTACCCATCTTCATTGAGAATATGAGATTGAAATATAGATGAGGTCTTGTGGGCACCAAAATTTTAGACAGCAGTGAAAGATTTTCTAAGGACACATTCATTGGAAGGCATAAAGCCTCATCTGGGGGAATCATATATTAACTGATGGTCTTCCTTTTATTTCTTTCTGTTGATCATCCTTTGTCTTCCCATTAGCACTCTTCTTTTCTGACTTATTCCTGAAACAAAAGAAGAGAAATCATTATCTTGCTCAAGTGATTGTAACCCCTCTGTACAGTATTTTCACACTAAAAAAATTATTTAAAAAAAAAGAAGAGAAAACAAGCAGTAAATATTTCTATATGGTCTTCTTAATGCATATCTAGTTGCCTAAACAAACTGAGCTTAGAAATTCTTTCTTTTGTGATTAACCCTTTAATTATTAGTGAATATCCTTCATGTGTAGAAACGGTGCCAATACCAATTCTGGAGAGAGGGCTAATTGAGAGTCTCATCCAGTAATGGCAGAGGACTTATAAATAACAATAGCTCTGTGTTCTTTCTATAAGCACGAGAGTACAAGTCAGGGACTTGGATTTGGGTCCAACGCACTGTTTGACCTTGGGCAAACATTGACTGCATTCTTTTCCTTAGTTTCATCCTTACATGAAGACAATACTATCTGCCTTCTCTAAGTTGCACAATAAGGCTGCTTAGAAAATCGCATGCCCTGTCCTTTGGAACATTCCTATTTAGAAGCAGAATGCAGACACCTCCCTTTCCAAGTCAGATGTATTCATGGAGATCTCAGCTCACAACGAAATATTTTAAGACACAATCTAATTGTTTATTCACTGTTGTCTGTCTCTCTTTAGCCCTGACAGACATGTCTGAAGAAGCAAGTACACAATGAGGAGCAGCACAGGTTACTCACAGGCATCACTGATCAACAGAGAGAAAATGACATAAAAACAAGAAAAATGTACAGGAGGCCTTCACAGACATTACGTTAGAAAATGCAGGCAGGAGTCCTTGGCATTCTCTTTGAGAATTTAATAAGATGATGCCTCTCGAATAGTTCTAAATCATGAGGGATTAGGGCAAGAGTATAAACTTGTAAATGTCTCCTTAGTAAAAGTGTCAGTTTCACAGTTATCTCTTACTTTTGGTTGCAATCAGAAGAGGATGATCACTTAACTGGCCTTATGTAAAATCAACAAAATAGGAGGCTTGTTTTTACTTGTTTTATGGATTTTTTGAAAGAGGAATTAAAGAAAGTAGGCTCATATGATTCAAAGGATTGAACTTGTTATTTGTTTTCTTGCTCATCTTTTCTTTTAATATCTCTTAAAAGTATGTCTATTTATCTTGCCAGCATACTGATGAGTGGCCTCTACTATGTAGAAGGAGTACTCCAGCCTGGGCTTAAGTATTTGGTCCTGTTTTGTCCTCATTAATGCTAATATGATTTACTGTTGCTATGTGGACTTAGCCCTTATATTTAGCCAACAGGAAATGATACAGCTGTGCAATTGCTGAACAAGAAGTCACTGCCCAATTGATCATCTCTTTCTCTGCTTATATTTCAACAATTTGTCACATTCTCTAGAGACCCAGACCAGATTTTTTTTTCTGTGTTTTATATGGCACACTTAATGTTTCTAACTTCCGCTCACAAATTTCAATATCTGACTGCTGATTTCATTTGTTTGTATTTTAATATTTCTGAGGAAAAGACAATGAACAATAAATTATTACAAATTATCAAACTGATTACTTAATATACTATACTAAATATAATTATATTCTATATCAACTTATACTTTATATCAACTGGTTAATGTAATATAAAAAAAATGGGGAATTTCTCTAAGAAAAAATTTAAAGAGTGAGTTATAGTTTGTTTTCTGCCACT